CATGAGGATCTCCTCCTCGCACTTTCCATTTAACCCTCTTCCATCTCATCAATGCTGACTGAAGGTCCCTGAGCAGCAGAAAGGTTTTATACAAGTGAGCACAATCCTTCAGTTCTGCTCCAGAAGTGTGTGAAAAAATGTATGTGTGTGTGTGTGTGGCCTGCAAAAGGGACAAGAGACCTTAACAATCCCTGACATGCTCCGCAGGAAAGGTTTCATGACTGTTACCAAGGTTACGGGGAGCCTGTCCCACATGCTATCCTCCCTGCATCAGAAAACCAGCGATTAGCGCTGCACGCCCCCTCTTTCTCTCCACCGCTGCTCCTCTCTCCATCTCACACTCTTAACTTCTTTACTTCCCAACATTCCTCTCTCTTCCCGTCCATCAACCTATCGACCAACGTCCGTCTGTCCACCTCTCATCTTTAGCCTCTCCCTCCTCTGCTTTCTGCCTGCCTCCATCTGTCACTCATCCATCCTTCTATTTGGATTTTCACTGTAAATCCTCCACCGTTTATTTAGAGCACTTCATTCTTAACACAAGGGACTGACGCCATTAAACCAATCACTCTGCTCAAGCAAGGAAATGAATAAACCCCCGACAGGGATGCATGTGCATGCACGCACACACATGCAGATACATAAACATCTTCACTGTAATGCACACAATTCCTCATGTACACTCACACACACACAGCCGTCACTCTCAAGACTAATCCATTGCTTAGCAACGCTATCATGGTCCTATTGTTATTCAAGGCTTGTTTGTAGCTTTTAGTTTCACTGTGTAATGAAATGTTTAATGCAGAGAGAGTGGAGGTGGAGCTGAAGAAAAGAGGAAGAGAAGGGAGCCTGAGGTGGGACCAGGAGGGACGGCCCCTGCAAAGATCTTCTCAGGGAGGGAGAGAGGCTGAACTGTGGATGGACAGAATAAGCATGGAGCTGAGAGAGAAAAAGAAACTGGGGGAAAGAGAGAGATGGAGTGGGAGCACTGTCGCTGAATGACCTTGATGTCCAAGAATAGAGAGTACTATGGCAGGAATTGCTATGCAGCACAGAGAGCTGACTCGCCAAGGGGAGCCTTTCAAAAAAATACATCCCACGACACGATTAGTGAAAAGTTCTTTTGACTATTACGGTCACGTTACACGCATGAACACCTCAAAGTCAAACAGGGGCTGAGGAAATATGACTTTAATCTAAAAGAAAATGAATCCTCTATTATTCATGGGACTGAGGAATCATTTCTTCTTGGTTCATTTAACTAAACGGATCCATGTTCCCTGCAGAAGTACAGCCCAGAGTCCAAAGCAGAAGCAGAAGAAAGAACATAAGAAAATGTTTTCAAATATATTAAATACACTTGGTTTAAGTTGGCAGAGAGAAAAATCTAAAGATCAGCTGAGTGACCCTCACCACGTGTCAAAGTCCTTTCAACGATTAAATGATTCACGTTTATGCATTTAATCACATGTGAAACACAGACAACAAAGTTTTACTTGAGTTGTTTGCTGAATGTGCACCTGAGTCAAGACATCGTAGATAAAGAGACATAATTACCTTTAATAGCTGTTTGCAGGTGGGGTCTCTGTGTGTCTGAGGGTCCACTGGTTGGTTTACTGCTGCTCCCACTGTCCCTCTGTCGGGCCACAGCGACAGCGATGCCAACCGGAGGGTGCCGCACCTCGCCCTCCCCTTCCCGGCCAAAAGAGCGAGCGCTGTCCGGCCGCTCCTGCTCCCTCTTCAGCTGGGGGGGAACCCTCAACGCCCCTGAACCCCCAGATCCGACCAATACCCTTTCCCTCTCTCTTTCTCTTTCCCGGTCTCGCTCTTTTTCCCGGTCCCTCTCTCTTTCACCATCCATGCCAATGTTACCCAGACCCCCAAACGGCCCTCGGCCATCCGCGGCAAGCCTGGATGACCCAGGACCTTCAGCAGCAAAGTTTCCACTGTATTTGATCAGACTCTGCATGGCTGAAACCTCCGGGGGGTCTGATTCGGCCCCCACAACTCGCTCGCCCCCACTGGACCCTCCTACCAGTGACCCCCCGGGTCGGTAGAGAGCTGATGGGTCCAGGTAGCGTCTCTGACTCCCCTCCTCACCTGAACGCCCATGTCCATGTTGGGAGGTGTGAGTCTGGGGAGAATGGCTGTGGGGGTGTGGGTTGTTGTTGGGACGGTGACTTGTGTGTGGGGACATTTGTTTGACATTTGTTTGTGTTGGTTGGCTGTGGGGGGAGGAGAGTGTGTGTCCGTGTTGAGCTGCCAGAGCAGCCATGTGAGTCGTGGCATAATTAGCCAATGGGCTGATGTTATTCCACTTAGGCTCCGCCCCTGCACGCTCTATACTCAATCGGATTGAGTTTTTGGAGGTGTCCCTGGTTTCTGGGCTGAACCTTGATTGACTGGAGGAGTACGATGTGTCCTGGCCTCGTTTACCAATGGAACCATTGGAACAAATGACTGAACCTTCCTCTCTTTGATTGTTTGAATCGCCGGACTGGGAGAGTCGAGGATGATCCATCAGGCTCCTCTCAGGAAACCTGTAGCTCTCCCGTTCACGCTCTCTGTCTCTCTCCCGTTCACGCTCCCTGTCTCTCTCCCGCTCACGCTCCCTTTCTCTCTCCCGCTCACGCTCCCTTTCTCTCTCCCGCTCACGCTCTCTGTGTTTGTCGCGGGCCTGTGAGGCGATCTGGATAGGCCCGGCCCGCTCGTCGTAAACCTCCACAGAAGGCACATATGTCGGTGCGGTGACTCGCTGTTCTCTGTTAGGGTCTCTGGGCGTGGAGGGGTGAGGCAGACCAGCAAGCACAGGGGGAAGGGCGTAGGAGATTTGGAGGTTCGCAGCTGAAGTGGCCACAGAATCGCTCCGTCTCAGTCTGTCGGATTGAGAGTTTGAGTTATGGTTGTGATGGGGTCGAGAGCCGCCCTCTTCATCCCGACTCCTCCTGTCCGTTTCTGGTACATGGAACCTGCCCCCACCCCCAGCTGAAGGGAAGGAGGGCTGTAGAGGAGAAGGCCTGGATCTGGCCTCCACTGTGGAGGGATGAGAGTGTGATTTCTGCTGGTGGAGGTGAGAATGAAAAGACCAACCATCTCTGTCTCTCTCCGTGTCCCGGTCCCTTTCTTTCTCACGCTCCCGGTCACCGCTCCTCGCCCGGCGCTCCTCCTCGCTCCGCCCATCTTGCGTCAGGTCCACCACACTGTGAGGTCGCTGCTCCTCTCTTGACCGCTCGCGCTCCCTGTCCCTCTCTCTCTCCCTCTCCGCCCGGTAGAGCCGGTCCCTACCGCAGTCCCGGGACGTCCTCTGAGGGGGCGTGGAGTTGGACAGGGCGGACGGGGGCGCAGCCGGAGGATGGAGAGGAGACTGGCTCAAGGAGGCTGGCAGGTAGAAACTCTCTGCAACAAACAAAACATTAAAACACATGAGTCTAAAAACAAACAGATGATGGAGATTTATGCAGAGTGCAGCACAGAGGTGAACATAATGAATATTAATATGTCAACTTGCTGAGAAAATGTAAAAATAGCAGAGACATATAGCAGATATGCAACAGCCTTATTCAGGGAGAAGGAAAAGGTAAAATAAGTCAATGCAAGAAACTAAAAGAATGACGACTGGCTGCAGGTCTGCTCACAGGATATGTTCTCTAAACTTTGGTGACAGTGACTGACCTTTATGTGAGTCGTAGAGAGGGTTCTGGGACAGCGAGGGAGGTTCAAGGTGCCCCAGGGACAGGTAGGGGCTGGAGTACAGGCTGCTGGGCAGCGGGGGGTAGCCTGAACACACACACACACACACACAGAGAACATGTCACACACTGTAGGTTCAACTTATTACATCAATGATATATCAGAAATGTAAATATCTTGGCCTCCTTGATGTTTTAAGCGTTGGAGGATTAGGACCACCCCTGGAGGATGTGGATAAAAGCATCTACTGTTGTTAACTAACAAACATAGATTAATAGTGCATTCACGTCGTGTTGGAAAAATGTGTTCCTGCCCCCTCAAAGTCAGTACGACGGAGAATTATGGCTAATTAAAGGGTAAAAAGAGATTTTTTTAAATATATGGAGTATCTTATTCAACTTCAGTTAACTTGATCTTCAAAGTATCAGGACTTGGAAAGATTTTGCGAGGAAAGAACCACACAGACTTGCCTCTTTTGTGGAGGAGGAAATGTCGGACGTGAGCCGTGTTTCATTCAAAGGCGTTTGGTATTTTCTCAATAAACAATGAACTTGGTATGTGGAACTCCGGCGAAACAGGTTCTTCTTGCTACTCAACTCCTACAAAAAGTTTTTTTCTTTTTCTCAAAATATTTGGACTTTTTTTCTAATTAAATTATGATAAATCATGTCAAATTAAAAAAAATGTTTTCTTCAATATGGTTGAAATACTCCACAGTAAGTCTAAGCAGCCAAAAAAGTCTGTGAAAGCTTTGGAACTCAACTTGTTGCAGGAACATGTTGGATAAAATTAAATGTTTGGTTCGGTGGTGAAAGATTTTTGATTAAAGTTTCTTTAAAGACGCAAAAAATCTGTCTTCTCTCGGTTTTTTTTGGTCAACATTTGATTTATTCTGCGGTATTAGGTTGTGACCATTAGCTGCCGTCCACACATGGACCTGTATGGTAGGAAAGTTATTTATAAGCAGACACTACGATGACCAGTCAGGTAGTAACATTCAGTTTCACAGAATGTAATGGTGCAGCAACAACTCCTGGACAATAAAATCTAATATATCTTCTTTGTAAAGCACAATGACTCATTCTGAATTAATAGCACATGATTCTATTGACACACACAACAATTGAAATAATAAGCTCTTCAATCAATTATTTCATTAGCAGGAAATTAATTGGCATCTTCTTTGATATCTTATTCATAGTTTCAGTCTTTTTCTGAGGATGTGCTGCTTTAATACATCTGAGAAACAGATTAGCTGTTTTCTTTGCATGATTTTTTTAAATGTTTGCCTATTTATACACAGTCATCACATTAGTTAGATTGACTTTCTGCTGCTTAACACTTTAATCGTGTTAATCTTTCTACACTGACTCAGTAGTTTAACCCCTCGTCACCTACAACAATTCATTTTGTCTGTGAGTGTTGGGCAAGAGTCTGCCCGTCAGCCAGCTGCTGCTCTCAGAGACCAGATCTTAATATAGACAAAGCCTTGCACTCTGGTGTAATGCTCTGGATGTCAGGGCAGAGCTGGCTGCTACTCGGACGCTGGCTGATGACACCGAGTTGAGCCACAAGTAAAAAAAAAAAAAAGAAAAAAAAAGACCACCACCCAGAATGAGTGAGACATTCCCTGTTCCCACACTCCAGCCATTCCCAGAAGTATCAAAGCGCCGCTCAGTGTTTCGCCGCTAAGTGTCGGGGAGCAAAGCTGAAGTATAAATCTGTCTCCTGTCCGTTTTGAGACGGGCAGAAATGGAGACAGCACGGGAAGGCGGGTGGTGGGGGGAGTCAGCGGTGAGAGGACGGCGCACAGAGACGGAAATATAAGAGGAATGATGTGACGAGTGCAGAGGAATGTGGGATAGGTTTCTTGCAAAGCTTCCTTTAACCACAGCTAACAGCTAACCTTGATCTCCGACAGCTTTGATACGGCCATTCCTGTGCTGCTACGGTGCATCGCAGCCATATCCAAAGTAACTGCTGCCTGGAAAAAAACCTCTCCAGCTTTTAGTAACTTTAGCTGCTATTAAAGCCACTCACCAGGTATTAAGAGTCTCTTTGACCCAGTGAAGGATTCTATTCATATCAGAGCAAGTCAAGCCTGCACGGCTGCTTATGTCAGCAGGGGGTTTTATCTTCTTTAGCTCTATATACTCAAGCTTCAGCTCAGGCTCAACTTTAATTCAAACATCTAAAGTCCATACGTGCTTCACGCCTCCCTTCTCTGGCTTCATGGGATGACAAACAGGCTGCGTCTTGGCAGGAAACGAGCGGCTGACCTGAGCGTCATTAAAAGTCATCCTTCTCCTGTTTGCGACCGAGAGGAGAGTTCAGGTTGAAGCCGACATTAAGCCCCTTTTCCACTGGTCAAAAAATTCACCAACACAGATAACTTGTGTGACGTTTGTCTGCAATCGGAATTCACTCCAAGAACAAAGGACGGGATTTTTTCGTCTCCGCTCAACGGTGATGGAAACATTACACCTGGGTGAACTTGCTAACTTGTCAAGACAGCAAGGTGAGAGAGCTCCTCCGTTGACAGCGTGGGATATCGAACATGATGCACCGGGGAAATAACAGTGAGGTAAACGCCTCCACTGGCGATGGGAAATGAGTCAATCACATTTTTAGCAGGTTTACCAACTGCTGGAAAACTAACTCTGTAATTTTGGTGTAAAAGATGTATAATATTTACTCCAGGGTCAAATGACTCTGCAGTAGATACAGATAAAAACAACATGCAATAGGGGCTTTTTCTTCGTATTGTGCAAGATGCAACGCAGTGAGGGAAGAGAGCATCTCATGTTGGCGTTCCTGACGTCAAACATGATGCGCTTTAGATTCAGGTTTACCCATGTATAAAAAAACCTGTTGTGTAAACGAGGTATTAGATTTACTTAGTTCAGCACAAAGAAACAAAAAAGGGTAATGAGTATTTCCTGGCTCTGAATGTGCTTCAGTTGTAATCACGTGCCCGGGCCGTCCCCTTGAAGTGTCCCTGAATAGCAGAGAGTAAACTCCAGACAAACATCTCAAAGAAAAAAAACTAATCACATATAATCTGATTTGCTGTGTTTGGAAAAGCACCGAACAAGATCTGTCGCGTAGGTGATGCAATCGGCTTTAAAAATGGAATCCATTCGTCCTTCTCGCTTTACCTTGCCTAAACGCACTGTGAAATGTGTCTCCTCCTATCTGACCTTCTACTCCAGCGAGATTTGATAAGGAGACACAGAAGGACATGAGGGAACGAGGAGGGGACAGAGATTCAATCGCACACTGAGCAGGCCAGAGGAGGAGCACATGGAGAGAGACCAGAGGGGAGGACGAAACACACAAAAGATACTCTCAGTCCTTCGGGGGTGTGTATATTTATATACATACACACACATATATATATTTTTATGTACATCTGTGTCGCATGCTCATGAGCTAGGTCAGGAAAGACGTGTAGGAAACTAGGGCAGGAGCGATAGAGATGGAGACAAAGTACTTACTGCACAGGAAGTTCAAAAAAAGAACAAGTGAGAGAAAGATAGATTACAGAAACGCATGACAGGCGAAAGACAGAGACCAGTTGCGGACATAGGGAGCGAGACGCATTTAGGACAGAGCCAGGAGTGGAGCTAACAGCAGAGACAGAAATGGAACAGGATCCCACTGGTGTAAGCAATGAGGAGCAGAAGAGGAACAAGCCTCCTGGGCATTGGACGGGAGCAGACTGTGATGTCATGTGTCTTCTAGCATTTCAATTATGTACGGAGACGGAAAGGAGGTCAACAGCAAAGAGAGGGAGAGATGGAGAGAAAATTAAATGTTTGTAGAAGTGAATTTACCTTCATGAGCGTGTGATGCCCAGAGCTGAGCCATCTGCAGGCTGCTGGGATTGGCCGATCTGTACGCAGGTTCAGAGGTCAGGGGGGAGGGGCCTGGATAACCAGACAGGAAGGGACTGGAGCCTGTCGGGAAGGCATCGCCTAGGAAAAAGAGGAGGAAGACCGTCAGTCACCCTCGTACCACAAGAACCAAACTAATAACAGACGAAGACGATCGATTTTTACTTTACATTCTATCACTTCCCCCAGTGTGTGTGTGTGTGTGTGTGTGTGTGTGTGTGTGTGTGTGTGTGTGCACAATCAATACACGCTGATGTGTCTATGCCCAAGCAGTCTGTTGTAATCACATTGTTACCGAGCCACCGCATACTCCATTTCAACGAAAGAGACCACAGACAGACTGTAGTCCAAAGAAGACGACAGTTAATTTAACCACCGACTGAAACCACAGTCGTCACAACAGCACTGGACTCGTCGTGTGGTGTTGAGGCTTCTTCATCTGGGAGGAAGCTGTGATGTGACGGGGGCATTAAGGGCATCACACTGACACACACTCTTCAAATACAGATCCGTTCAAGTTTCCACTTACGGAGTCAACTACGTTATAGTTATTCTCATCTATAAACCACTGATGTGTAACTCAAGAAAAAAAAACTTTATTTTCTATTTAACACTCATCCTGTTTTTGACCAATTTACGACAAATGCACTGAAATCCAGAGTTTCCTGTCAGCACTCTCATATAAAGTCCACAGAAAGTACCAAGGGGGTGGGGGGTTTCTAACATGCGACAGATGAAAAAAAAAAAAGGAACTAACAAAATATCTCCAAATGAACAAACGGAGCCGAACACGTAAAACGTGGCAAGAGAGGTTACGGTGATAAGAGTCGACGCAGGTATCGATGTTCTGTGGGAGAAATCACCGCAGCAGATTCATATCAGGGCTAGTTGGCGCTAACTTAATTATGATTGTAAGAAAAGCAGCCACTTGTGTACAAAACACGTTGACGTCACACACCTCACCATTAAAACCAGATCCATCACCTTCACACCAGCAGAGTGAATCCTCATAAAACATTTCATAGCTCAACATGATAGCAGCTATCGATTGTTTTTATTACACTTGTTTTTATTAGAGTCCACCCCCACGTTCATGTGTGTGTGTGTGTGTGTGTGTGTGTGTGTGTGTGTGTGTGTGTGTGCACCACTGACCACTTGTAAACTTTGAACCTTTACTCCCTCTTTCAATCACAACCTTCTCTGAGCTGGAAACGGTTTCATGTTTAGCTGAGGTTTCCCCTCCACCCTGCCCATTACTGAACGCACTGCTCAGCCATTACCCTGATAAAACTAACCATGTGTGTAGGGGAAAGGACGTAGTCTGTACGAGGGTGAGGGGGGAAGGGGCTGAGTGAGTGTGTGTGAGTGATTCTGTATTAGTCCTGTGGGAATCTGAGAGACATGCTGTGCTTGCTGAGTTTTCCCCTGCATCTAAATCAGTACATTAAAACCACAGTCAGTCAGCGCCTGTGCACACACTCAAACACACACACACACACACACACACCTTAAATCAATAGCAAATGCAGCTTTCCAATTAATCACAAACAACAGGCGTGTAGGCCCAGATTTATTCAAGCTTCTTCATGTTTGCATGTATGTGTGGGTCCTTTTCACACGTGTGTGTACTGTCTTCAGTTAGTCTCAGAACGTAAACTCAGCTGGAAAACAAACCCCGTTGTCCTGTGCGGAGCAGCACAGTGACATGGTTTCACTTCCAGACAGACAGAAGTTACTGGGTTACAACGTGTTATTCATTATAGCGTAGCATTACTCATACACAGAAGTGATTACAGCCCATCTGTGTCACTGCCATCATCCAGTATATCCCGTTCATAAACACAATTCAAATGATTTGAAAAGCATTTGTCTCCAAAATTGAGAATTTGAACAACTGTAACCTGGTAACTTGCAAACGCTAAATGCAAGTAACTTTTCACACTTCATCTATCAACACAGTGGCTGCACCTTATTCATGTCCTCCTCCTTTACAAAAGTACGAGCAGGCCCGGGGTACGTGAGTGGGAGTGCGAGATGCGTTTTCAGGCGAGTTAGTAAAGACGGAGATTGAAGCACTCGTATGGACACAGGTCATTTATTAAAAATGCAAAGAACTCTTTTTTTAAACCGCCACCTTTCCACCCTTCACTCCAATGCGTGCATGTGTGTCAGGCTACGTGCCAGCAGTGTTGTTATAACAAATCATTCTCACCTAAAATCCATTTCCTAATTGTTACCTGGTGTGTGAGGAACAAAATGTAGATGTAGCCCCTTGACACACACACACACAGAGAATACATTCACAACTGCACCACCTGTCAAGGATGTTGAAGGCCTGTAGGATGTCAGCAGTTTCCATTCCTTCAGGACAAACACCAGGGTCTCTCTCTCACACACAAAGATGCCCCACTAGAGTGCAGATCAATCTCAGCATCTCAGCTGCCTACAGGCCATTTATTCATGTGTACACACACACACACACACTTATTGTTTCATGCCAGTGTTCAGTAAAAAAAACAACAAAAAACCCATATTCCCATTTCCCCTTCCTGAACAGTGTAAAGGAGGAAAAGGAGGGAGGAGAAGAACGAGGGAAAACATTTATGCTCTTCGCTCCAGAAACAACATCCAAATGGTAGCTGAGAGGGAAACGTTTCTTTAAATGTTTTGAAATTACTCTTTCATTACCTCCCTCTCTTTTTTTCGCTCTGCCCTTTCCTTCCTTCCTCTCTCTATCCCTTTACAACTCCATCCCACGTTCCCACCATGGATACACACACATACACACACACACCAGTTGGCTCTCACTTCACAAGACAGTTAGTTTGCCATATTGGGATAAGAGAGTTGCCAAGAAACACGCTCTCTGACTCCCAACACGTTCTGAGCCTCCATTTTCAGATCCTCATAAGAAGCGTATCTCGGAATCAGAGGAGGAAGAGTTCTGCTGGAGATGAATTCTGATAGAGACGCTGCTGCACATCGCACATCGCACATCACACACACACACACACACACACACACACACACACACACACACACACACACGAAATCTGTGAAATTAAGCTTGAGTCATCTAAAATCAATCTAAGATGGACCAAACAAAACTAAAACCAAAAACAACAATACTGGAACACGTACAAAAACACAACTCTAGTATAAATGTCTGACGCACACATGCACACGCACAGACACACACACTGTGAACCCATCTGTTACCCATCAGTGGTACTCAGAGCTGGGTTAGCTTGGGGGGAATTTCTATTGATCTCTGTTTTTTTATTCCCGGCAAGAAAAACATCCAAACAGTAAAACTGTGCAGGGTTGTCCGTCTCTGCCACAGCTATAACTGGCACACTGACACTGGTAACCATTAATCCTGACTGTGAAGCAGAGGAAGCGCTCCCCACACAAACACGGGGGTGAACGTGTGTCAACTGTGTGTGTGTGTGTTCAGCCAGCATGTGGCTTTAAGTGTGTTAATGATTTCAAAATGTACAAGTCTGGTTTTCCTGCGTTCTGGGCTGTTTAGAGGAAACTATTTTGCTTGTGTGTTTGTGAGCTCAAGCTGAACACAAGCGGTTTCGCAAGTTCACAAATGCCTCGGCTTTACGATGAGCTCAAGTTACGACATTGTCAGCTATTTAGTTTTGCATATCACAGAGCAACATGTTAATAAAGCCCCTTTTTCCACTGGTGAAAACACCCACTAACATCTGGCTTTTGTCTGGACTGGGAACGGATATAATCTGCATTCGTTCCTGGGTATTATGACAGTAGACAGGTTTTTAATTGGCTCCTATCAGCAGTGACAGAAACGAGACACCCAGGTGAACGTGCTGATTTTGGTGAGACAGCGCGGTGAGTGAGCGCCTCAGTTTTCAGTGCATTTCAAAACCCTTAGAGGCAAACTTTTCTACTCACAACAGGAAAGCAGCCAATCAACTTTTTTACTCACATTTAAATAAACTATCTTTACCTGCTAATTTTGGTGTAAAGGTGGTTTCTCAAATGAGTCTCTTTCTATAAAGTACAGTTTTGTTGATGAAGCAGTTTCGTAATTTGGAAATACACAGGCGAAAATTAGACAGGCCTGCATAAATGGCAATTTTGAAAAGCTTGTGGGGAAATAACCATCGCTCCGACAAACGGGGCGAAGGCTTTTAACTTCTGAACTTTTGTATCTTCTAAGAAAAACAGAAACTACACAAGAGTCAAAATGGAAAAAATTGAATCATATCGAGACAAATGTTTGTTTTCCTTTCTTTTCTACATGTTCTCTGTCTTATGCATCTTGTATGTTTATGTAAAGCTATGAACTGCCGCTGTGTCTGAAATGTGTTAGATAAATAAACACGCATGCCAATAAAGATTGTAGAGGGAGAACATATGTTTTCCCATCGTATATACAAATAAGCACATCATGGCTGTAATGACGAGTAATAAGCGGTGCATGATAAAAAAATATTTTCCTACATTAAATTATTGGAATAATAAAATGATTTTTGCCAAAACAAATGCTTAGGTTTCAAACACACGCACACATACACAACCAGTCAAAGGTTTTAAAAACACCCAATTTTGTCGAGTTCACGTTGAAATATCAGCGGTTAAACAGCGACACTAAGGTAAGTGGAAAACTACTCAAGGAAAAAAAACGAGCCGAGATGTAAGTTCGGGGACCGCGACTGAAACCTGTTATTAAATGGGCCCTGGTGCTGAATTATTTAAGACCATATCATAAGCTCCAACTTTATCAGTTCTGCTCTCAGTACTTAAAATAGATTTTCTATTTATTATAGCGACATAAACGTTATCTTGCAGATGTTATCTCTCCAACTCTTCTGATTAAAACATTTGTCTATTCTGCATTTTCACTGTTTCCAATCTTTCTCTCTCTCTCTGCGAGGGGCGGGGCTCTCTCTGCCTTTCTCACATGCCGCTGTACTTACACACACACACCGTGCTGCTTTTAGTGAGACTTAGTTGTCAATGCTAACAATGCTTGTTGCTTCAGGTGCAACAGGTCTTCTGTGGTGGGTGGAAACTCGAGACGTCTCTGGAAAACATGCAGAATCAGTCCAGCACATACATGTGGAGAAGTACAGTTTAACCGGAAAGTTCATCCGTCACTGTCCCCGCTCTGTTGTGTGTGCTCACAGCCTGGAGACCACACACACAGTGAACTAAACTATACAAACACTGGTTACTGATTAAAAGTAACGATTAGCCAAATGACTGTTGTGGGTGTTTTTATAACTTCAGTCTGAAATGGTTGGAGCAGGTAACATAAACATTTATAACTACA